AGGAGGAGGAGGAGGAGGAGGAGGAGGAGGAGGAGCAGCAGCACTGGGGGCTGTGAGAACAAGGGGAGACACATGAATGTCTGTGGGACCTGGAGGCCTCTGCTCCCCCTCCCCCGTCCAGCCGCCTGCTCTGGGGCAGGTGGGCAGGCATTGCGAAACTTGGGGACTGGCAGCTGAACCAGCAAACAAAGCCAACAGGCTGGCTCCCCCACAAGAGAGACGGCAGAAGGCCCCCCTCTGCTCCCAGGGTTGGAAAGTGGCCATTCTCATCGCTGGGGCCTCGCCTGGCTCCATGAAGCCCCTCCTGGCGCTGCCGTGAAACCTGTATCAACGGTCACGGGTCTCCTCTTACAGGAAAGAGAACTCTGTCCTCTTTACCTTCCAGACACTCTGTCCCGCTCAGCGACAGCCTCACTAGGATCCAGCACGCAGCCCAAGACCAGGCACAAGCTCCCTGAGACAGCTCTTCAAAGCCCCCAAACAGCAATATTAGTAATAATAACGGGACGCACGGCAAAGGTTGAGAGACTCAGTGAGATAAGGGATGTGGAACAACCAGCTCTCCATGCACAGACGGATACTGAACACTTTCACAGTCCATCTGGCTGAAAAAACCCCTTTGCAGAATTCGCATCTGCCCTCAGCGCCCCCTTCATCTCAGCCCAGGAAAGGCTGCGGGAAGCTGCTGCTGCCTCGTTCCCAGTAAGACCACCCTGATCTCCCTGAGGGGCCCAGGAAAAAGTGATGCCAGAGGGGACACAACTACGGAAGGGAGGACAGGCTGACTGCCTCCTCCTGAAGACTTCTAAGTCAGCTGCAAATGACAGGGTCCCAGGCGCTGTGATCAATTTGATTCTATCCGGGCTGCATCCCACCCCCAGATTGGCGGGAGGATGGGGAGGGAAGAAAAAGGAGAAAAGAAAGGCCCAACCATGGGCTGCTGGGCCCCGTCCTGCTAGGCCTGGTGCCCCAGGCGGCAGAGGCCTGACTGGGTGGTGAGTTCTGTGCGCTCACCCCACCCTGGGGCCAGCAAAGGAACTGCAGCCTCTTTGGAACCCTGTAAATCAGCTGGAGCTTCTGGATGAACCCCAGCTTTAGTTTCTTAGGGGACAGAGGCCCTTTAGCAGCAGAAATTCCTGACCCTCTGTGCCAACATCAGGCCGGCATCGCCACTGGAGATCCTCTCCTACGGCGCATGCCTCCCCAGGTCCTTTCACAATGTAACTATTCTATGTCTCGTTAAAGATGAGCCATCACTGCGGCCACTAGGGCAGGAAGAAGCCGAGGAGGATGTCCTGAGCCAGGAGGAGTTGTCGGTAGAGAAAGGATAGGTGGTACTCCTCACCAAGGTCCCAGGCGGCTGGGATAAACTGAAAAGAGAGCGAGGAAAGAGCTTAAAACAATTAAAAGGCTGTTCATGGGGAAGAGTCCAGATAAATCAGTTTCTTCACTGTAAGGCTTCCCAAAATAACAATATTAGTAATAATAACGGTATGCATGGCAAAGGCTGAGAGGACTCCGCAAGGTAAGGGATGTATGAAACAATCAGCTCCCCACGCACAGAGCAGATACGTAAATGCCACCTGCCAGTGTTATTAGTAAGCCTGGGGGACCTCCAGGGGCAGGAGGGAGCGGGCCGAGTCCCCAGACTCCTCTACAGAGCGGCTGTGGTCAGTGCTCCAGGAAGCACACTCTGGGAAAGATCGAGGGGTGGCCACGAGTTTTCCGATTCCTTGTCAAGGGCTGAGAAACAGGACAAAGGCCAGGATGAGAGCCATTGGCCACCAGGCTTCGCACTCCCCAGGGGGCTGTCCCTGTGGAAGGGGCAAGTGTCTGTGGCCCAGAAGAGCTGATTCAGCCTCGAGGCTTTCCCTCCCTCCAGCGGGGTGACCCTGGGCAGCTTACCAGGCCTCTCTGCATCTGATGTCTTCGCCTGTAAACTGATGGGATGGGGCCACCAACCTGAGAATTCCCGGCTTCCGGATTCTATGTTTATGGGCATTTCTGCAAAAATGGGGAAGGGAAGAGAAAAGGGAATAACATCTAAGCCCTGGTGTCTTCTGACCATGAGCCCTGATGCTAGACTTGTTTGGGGCGGTTTCCGGAGAGAGTCTAAGGCTGCTCACTCTCTTAGCCAGTGTGTTCCCCGGGACCAAGGATGCTAACAGAGGAAAATGGTGAAGTGTCCAGCCAGACTCCTACCTGCCAGGGGCGGGGGAGAGAGAAGCGAAGGAAGGTCCCACATTAACCCCTTCTGCCTCTGAAGAGACCATCAAATCCACTATGCCTAATGGCCAAATTCTTTTTTAAATGTCAAATGACCATATTCCATATTTTCCAAACTAAACACCAGGACCCACGATGTCAGAAAGGATTCTGCATGCCACCAGCTTCTAGACCTAGTCTCGGAGACAGCACGTGGGAGCTGACCTCTCCGTGTTGGTAAAATGCAGATGGTTTGTGGGTGGGCACAGGAGTGTCCCAGGAAGGCCAGGGGACGTGTCCGTGATGCCAGGGACCTTCTCTTCCTCTGCACATCTGTACACTCTTCCCACTGCAATGGCCAACGCCATCCCTGGCATCCCCCAGGAGATGACGTACCAGCAAGCCACACTGGCTGCTGGGATTGGTGCTCGCAGTCCCAGCCCGGTCCAACCCACGCCTGACTCTCTGGTTTCCTCCAGGCGTCATGGCCAGGCTCACTCCCAGAAAACTGGTGGCAGCGTAACTTCCCCCATCTACCGATTACCCACTGACCCACTGGGACTGGGCACCGCCTCGGCTCCTCGGCTCCTCGGCTGTGAACTCCTCACCCCGACGACCTGGGGGCAGCGTCTCCCACGCTCCGGGCTGAGCACCAGCCTGGCCCTTTGTCCTGCTCCTGTTCTTAATTTCCTGCTGTCTATTGCCTCTCTGATAACCGCTGGAAGAGGGAAGGGTGCTATTTAATTGCTTCAAAGATAGCGAACAAGCCAGTGCGGAGGTTATCTGCTCCCAACCCCTCCATTTTTCTGGCTCAAGGTTTGGTTACTTAGTTACTAGCTGAGCGGAAGGGAAGGAGAGGCCGTGGCCGTGCTGATGTGGCCGCGCAGACTTCATTCAGCAGGTGGAGGGCAAGCCACAAGAAGAGCCATTCAGAGTCGAGTGGGAACTGGACCGAGGGTGGCTGCTGGGTGCAGGGGGTGGCAAAGTCGGACCTTTGAGGCATTCGGGGGGAGGGGAGGCCTATATTATCTGTACAAAATCAACAGCTGTTCTCATTACCCCCTTTCTGCCGTCAAGGTCAAGGCTGTTCAGACCCCATTCGTCCAGCCCTGCAGCAGGGATGGTGAGTGTGAGGTGGCTCGGGCCAGCACTTTTTCCAGGGTGGGCCACTCACCCTGACTCCTGGGGGCGGGGGGTAAAGGGACGACATCGCAGAGAAAGGCTTCGAAGGGGGCTTCACTGTATGGGTTCATCCAAGGTAAAGAGCTTTGCTGGTCACTGAGAAGACGTGACCACCCGGTGACCTGAGAGCTGCACCCAGAGGTCAGAGCCTCCCCCCCCCCAACCCCCGCTCTCTTGTCCTCAGAATGTACGTTCCACACACTGTTCCCACACTCGCAGCCACTTCAAGGACTCAGCCTCGAGAGAGCATATCCTTCCCCCCTCACCCTGGATGGTCTACATCACAGGGCCCTGTGAAGGACTCTATCTAAAGTTTTAAGATGCCGACCGGTAGGGGTAGAGATCTACTGGTCTTCTGGCCGCCCAGCACAAGCTTCCTGTGAAGGCTCCCCTGCTCATGGGAACTGCCACCCACCAATCAGAGCCGTCTGCCCTTCCTTCGGTCTCTCCTTGTCCTTCAAGTATGGTGGGCGGGGGTTGGGGGAGGGGTTTCCAATTTCACCGGGGACTCCTGAGGTTGCAAACCAACACCTCAGAGATTCCGCCCATGAAAACCCCTGATGTCCACCCTCACATGGGGACCCAGGATGCAGTCTGGCCCAGCTAACTGCTCCCTTCCCCAGAGGTCCCCTCCCCTAGTCTCTCGCCCATCTGTAGGGCTCACCCGAACTGCTGAAAAGCCTGGGACCGGGACTTTTCACTGGCGAATTGGAAATCAGGGAATAGGATGGGCAGGCAAAGGCCACTCAGCCCACGGAGAAAACTAGCTGGTGTTTGCTTTCTCTCCAAGTGTCCTCAGGAGCGTGTGTGTGTGTGTGTGTGTGTGTGTGTGTGTCCGTGGAGGACGGTGAGAACGGAGAGGCTGCGGGATTGATTATGACTTATTAAACTATTGGAACAGAGGCTGAATCATCACAGTCAAAAAAATAAACAGCTGCAATTGGATGCACCATAACTCCCACTTCTTGCTGGTTTCCCTTTGCTCCCTCGCAGCGGGAAGGAGCAGGGGCCTTGCTGGCTGGGACCAGCAGGTGCCTGCTGAGGGGACTGCCGCGCAGCCACCGCCTCCAGGCTGTGTGAAACCTGAAGCCGGGACAGTCTGTGCGAAGGCGGGACAGTCGGATGAGCCTAAGCCTCTGCCTGCAACTTGGGAGCCCGAGGGCCTCGCACACCGCCCGCCCGCCCGTTGCAGGGAGAAGAGCTTCCCCCTGGACCCATCGCCTCGCTGCCCTTCCTGGGCCTGGTGCCCAGGGCCCAGGGATGGCCCACAGTAGACACAGCTCTGCAAACTTGTCCCACTGTTTTACCCAGGCGCCACCCCAGCTGCCTGGAACACGCTGGGTGACACAGCACAGATTCTGTGAAATCGGAGGGTAGGCAGTGCGTGTCCTGAGCCGTGGGAGGCAGACTGAAGTCGCTTGACCTTCCCCTCTCACCTGCATGAAGCCCCCCCTGCCCCGCTCCCCAGCCCGTGCTCCACGCCTATGAGCTGTGCCCGCCACCGCCACCGGCAGGATCCTCCACTCGGCTCACCCCCGTCCTCCCACAGGACCCGGGCGGAGCGAAGCTGCCATGACGTCAGGAGGGGGGCGTGGGGAAATGTGCCGAGGGGCTCGGGCTCCGCAGGGCCAGTCCCGGCGACACAGCCACCAGCGCCCAGAGTGGATCGGCTCGCGGATCAGCACTCCCGCCAGCCCGCCAGCCCGCCAGCTCTCCGCGGAGCGAGGCGGAACGAGGCGGGAGCTGGAGCCCAGCGCGGGGCGCCGGCCGAGCTGGGGACAGCCGCTAGGTGCCAGCAAGCCGAGCTGGCGGATTGCAGGATTGCAGCGGGAAAGCAAAGGTGAGGTGTTTTCCTGTGTGTGTGTGTGTGTGTGTGTGTGTGTGTGTGTGTGTGTGTGTGTGTGAGAGTGTGAGAGAGAGGGGGAGGGAGGGAGGGAGAGAGAGACGCTAGCACTGGGGCAGCAGGGCGCATCTGCGGTGCACAGTAGTGCGCACCTGGATGGGCTGGAGTGCGGGTCCCAGCGCGTAGCTCCCCGTCCTGGTGCCACTTAGGGGCGGTCTGGGTGGGACTGAGCGACTGCGAGTGTCCCCGGCATGAGTGCGGGACTGTGGACCGAGTGCTGGGACCGACGTGCTGCACAGCGCATGCCGTGAGGGTGGCGTGCGCCCTTGTCCAGTCTCCGTCCCCCAGTCGAGCGTCCAGGTGGTGGGTGCGACCGGGACAACTTCCCTACCGGCCGCCTTTAAAAGGGTCGGAAGGGAGGCGGGCAAGCTAGCGGCGGGGGTGGGGGCACTGCCGGGGCTCCTGTGGGCGTGCACCCGAGATCTGAGCCCGTGAGGACAGTTGGCAGAGCAAAGAGGGGCTTCTCTCTGTGGCTCCTCTCCCGGCCTGGCCGACGCGTCCCTGATGGTCGAGGGCCCCTTCCCTGGCGCTCAGGCCGACAGGGCAGCCTTCTCGCCGCCTCTTCGCAGACAGACCCTGGGGGCTCTAGCATGCCCATCTTCGGTCTCCCCCCTCCCTCCCTCCTTGTCCCCCTGGAAACAGCAGGGGGTCCTTTAGGAACCCCGTGGGTCTGAGGGTCAGCGCGGGGAGGGGGGGGGAGGGATGGCTAGGCGGATGATTTTCTGAGCACCGGAACCAACCGGGCTGTCCCTAGACGCGCCTCTCCCCCAGCCCTTCAGCCAGCGTCGCCAGCTCTTCCTGGGAGCCCTAGCGGCAGGGCAGCACGCACTTGGCACTTGGTGAGTCTCTCCTCCTGTGAGGCTCAGGCCCCAGCCGACCGGGGATCCACTGGGTTTAACAGGCCCGGGGAACTGGGGTGGGGCTGAGTGAAGAAACGATATTGGTGAGAAAGGAAAAACTGAAGCACAGTAGAATTGGGGGTCTCTCTCTCTCTCTCTCTCACACACACACACACACACACACACACACACACACACGCTGGGCTCCCTCCCACTGGCCAGTTCCTAGGCTGGTAACCACAGCCCCCCCTGGGAAGGGGAGGAGAGGCCGGAGGCCAATCTAACCTCCTCCCCAGCAGAGCCAGGACTCGTGTGAGAGGAAACCAACAGCCAGCCATTTCCAGTGCCTCACGACTCAGGCTGGAGACATCCAAAAGCACAAGATCAAACTTCCTGTGCATTTCAGTGAAGCACAGTGCCCGCACGGCCTGCCTGGCCCTGGACTCCACCTTCAGTGACGCAGGCGCCACTCGCAGGCCGCAGGCAGTGCCTTTACTGTCGGTGAAGTGAGAGCCACTGTGATTTAAACCCATGTCTTCTTTGAAGGAGCCCTCCTGCCCCGGGCTGGCTCCCAGCTCACCATCTCTGCCACCTCTCCAAGCTCTGAACCCTGCCCATTGCGCTCTCTCACAGGTGGAGAAAGGCTACTTCTCAGCCTATTTCAGAAAAAAACAAAAACAAAAATAACTTCCCCATACTGAGTGAGACTCCACCAAAAAGGCAGCCAGGGCTGGAGAGCAGCACCCCCCTCCCTCGCATGCCTGCACCATCAGCACCCCTGTCCCAAAGCACCAGGCAGTTTCTGCAACCCAGAGGCCTTCAGTGTGACCCAGACATCCGAGTGTGACCTGGCACATTACACAGACGGGACCCTGGAATGCTAGTGATTAATTACGCTCCAATGCCGGCCGCGTACGCAGGTGTCTGGGCCTGTAGAATTAAAATACCTGACAAGTAGAAATGACAGTGGAAATAACCCACGTTTATCTAGGAATAGAAAAATGGGTTCTTCACAGCTTCTGTTTTTAATTGCTGCCAATTGATGCTTTTGACCCAATGCAGACACTAAATCCAAGGTTGTCCCCCCAAGTACTTTGCAGAACGGTCAGCCACGAAGCCCGGACCACAGTGTATAGAGAGCTGTGTGGTAGGGAAATCAGCACAGAACAGAGAAGCAAGGCGCCTGGATTGCACAGCAAGTCAGAGGCAGAAGTGGACAAGGGCCCCCAACTACTTGTGGGTGGCTAAGTCCCCTTTAACTCATCAGGAGTCTCTCCAAGAATAAAGGAGTAAGCTTTTTCTTAAGTATATATTTTTTTATTTCAGCGAGGCAGGGAGAGGAGAGATAGAAACATCAATGATGAGAGAGAATCACTGATCAGCTGCCTCCTGCACGTCCCACAACCCAGGCATGTGCCCTGACCAGGAATGGAACAGTAACCTCCTGGTTCATAGGTCAACGCTCAGCCACTGAGTCATGCCAGCAGGGCAAAGGAGAAATCTTCAATCTTCACTCAGGCAGGAAATTGCCCTGCTCAGTGGAAATGTGTCCAACAAGTGAACTATTCCCCTTAGTTGCTAAACAATACCATCCTTTTACCACCTCCCCTCCCTCTTCATATACTCAAGACCCAAATCAAGCATTCCCCTTACAACGCCCCCTTGGGACCCCCCAGGAGCAGAAGGCATTCTTCAATCCTCTGTTCCTATCTCAATTCAGGTCTCACCCTGTATGAGTTGGCTTCTTTCCCTGTCTCCCCTCCTAAATTATCACCTCCTAGAGGCACCAGCCATGTCTTGTTCAACCCTGGTGTCCAGAATAAAGAAGCCCCCAGTGATGGTTTTTGAATGACTGCGGGTAGATCATTTAATTATGTGATGAGCTATTGTTTTATACCTTAGGCCAAGCCAATGGTTACATTTTCTCAGCTTGGAGAGGGAAAAGAGGAGTAAAAGTGCAGAAGATGTGGGTATCCTGTGTTCAAATCCCAGCCCCAACTGATTATGGGAGCAAGTCACTTACACTCTCTAAGTCTCAGTTTCCTCATCTGTAAAATGGAACAAACAGCCCCACCTCCAAGAGTGGTTGGGAAGATCAAGAGGGTGTGAACGAGCTACATCAGTGTTTGGAACCTTCTCTTCAAGTCTGAGAATGAACCTGGCTCCTGTTTTTTTGGCAAATTCTCTGGGGTAAGAGAAGACAAGCATTCTGAAACATTCCATGGAGGGACTTTAGAAAAGAGTTCTCCTAGGCATACGGAGCTCAAGTATAGGGTATTGGAGAAACAAAAATAAACTAAAGCATACATTCTTAAAATAAAAGCAAGCCAGATATTTATTTTAACACTTAAGACTATACATTGGTTCATGATGGAGGCAGATTTCAATACATTAGAGATAAATGAGATGATAGAGGGAAAATGGGGGTGGGAGATAACAGTTACAGAGCTCTGATTATAAGCCCAGCACAATGCTAGGCGTTTTCACATACATTTCATCATTTAACCTTCATGGCACCCCCATTTTAACAAATGAGAGTTCGAGCAGTTAAGTACAGGGCAGGGGTCACGTGGGCTCCATGGTGGAACCCTGGTTTGTTTCACCTCCAAAGTCTGGGATTTTTCCACACTGGGTTTTCAGAATGGAAAAACTCCAAATAAGTCGGCAGGTCCGTGTAGATTTCCTCGTAGGAAAAGGCCAAGAGCTCCAGTGTCTGACCTCTCTGCCTTCTCCCACTTTGGACCAGTTAACTTTTCTTAGGGATCAAAGTACATTTTTTTGCAGCCACAGCCATCCCCCACATGTGCGTCACCAAAGATGACAAGATAAACTATGATGGCTCACCTCGAACTCTTCGTCACTATTGGAAAAACTCAAACATTCTGCACACCGATGAGACTGCGCTGGTAGCTCTGCGTTGATGTGGAAAGATGATGCGCCGTGCAGCCGAAGGGTGTGTCTGCGAGGGTAACCCAGAACTTGGGAAGCTGGTGAGAGTTTATGTGGCCTCTGACTGATGAGCCAATCTTCCTTTCTCCCCTGCAGATGTCACAGTGGACCCTTTGCCTCCAGGACCCATTAAGGTGAGAATAAGATCTCTGGCTGGTTGGGACGAGCCGAAGACTGCAAGGCAGCCATGGATGTGGCCTATGACCTACTCAACAGCAGCCAACCACTGCTTTCCTCTCAATTCGACCTCAACGGCTCCGTGGCGGCAGCCAACAGCTCGAACCAGACAGAGCCGTACTACGACCTGACCAGCAATGCAGTCCTCACGTTCATCTATTTCGTGGTCTGCATCGTTGGCTTGTGTGGCAACACGCTGGTCATTTACGTCATCCTCCGCTATGCCAAGATGAAGACCATCACCAACATTTACATCCTCAACCTGGCCATCGCGGATGAGCTCTTCATGCTGGGTCTGCCCTTCCTGGCCATGCAGGTAGCTCTGGTCCACTGGCCCTTTGGCAAGGCCATCTGCCGGGTGGTCATGACTGTGGATGGCATCAATCAGTTCACCAGCATCTTCTGCTTGACGGTCATGAGCATCGACCGGTACCTGGCTGTCGTCCACCCCATCAAGTCGGCCAAGTGGAGGAGACCCCGGACGGCCAAGATGATCAATGTGGCCGTCTGGGGGCTCTCTTTGCTGGTCATCTTGCCCATCATGATCTATGCGGGGCTTCGGAGCAACCAGTGGGGAAAGAGCAGCTGCACCATTAACTGGCCGGGTGAATCTGGGGCGTGGTACACAGGGTTCATTATCTACGCCTTCATCCTGGGGTTCCTGGTGCCCCTCACCATCATTTGTCTCTGCTACCTGTTCATCATCATCAAGGTGAAGTCCTCGGGAATCCGCGTGGGCTCCTCCAAGAGGAAAAAGTCGGAGAAGAAGGTCACCCGGATGGTGTCCATCGTGGTGGCCGTCTTCATTTTCTGCTGGCTCCCTTTCTACATATTCAATGTCTCCTCCGTCTCCGTGGCCATCAATCCCACACCGGCCCTCAAAGGCATGTTTGACTTCGTTGTGATCCTCACCTATGCCAACAGCTGTGCCAATCCCATCCTGTACGCCTTCCTGTCTGACAACTTCAAGAAGAGCTTCCAGAACGTCCTCTGCTTGGTCAAGGTGAGCGGCACAGACGATGGGGAACGGAGTGACAGTAAGCAGGACAAATCCCGACTGAATGAGACCACGGAGACCCAGAGAACCCTCCTCAATGGAGACCTCCAGACCAGTATCTGAACCGCCAGAAAAATAAATGTATGGCCAAGCTCTGCCCACTGGCGCTGGGCTCCCTCCCCCCACCCACTTCCTTTCTGCCGCCCATCACACCTGGCTTCTAGAATAGGGAATTGTTCAGCATGAGTCCAATTCAGAGAGCAGTGCTTGAGTCAGCTTGTCTGAATGAATGATTTGTATTAAATTGATTGACTCCCTCTTAAAGGGAACATTTCAATGCAAACAGACAATTCAAAGTCTAGAAAAGATACGAGCAGGCCTTTGAGATGTGGAAGCTCAAAAAAGATAGAAAACTGTATCTGTGTGTTTGTGTGTTTGAGACCCAAAATGTAATCGTGTGTTCTCACATTTATACCTGTATATTCCCATCTGGTTCCTGTACGACCGTGACCTGTATTTCCTGTGTTCATATACGCGAGTAGCAAATCCACACGTGTACAGTACAGATGGACACTTACTACAACCTGGAACCCGCAGCCATGGACTATTTACGAAGCCAATAAAGTTTAAGCGTCAGGGATCTCGCTGGCTTGGGTGGTATATTCACATGACCATATGTTTTTATTAAAAGTTATAAAGGAAGATATTTTTGTATTCTTGTTCTTTTTTTTTTTTTTTTTTTTTGTATTCTTGTTCTTAAATGGCTCCTTAAGCCTCCAGCCTCACAAAACTTGCCCTGCCCGTGAGCAATTGCTTCATTCATTTCCTCTGTATTAGATCCAAGTAAGAAGGGAAAGGGAGAAGGTATCTGAGGACCCAAAACATAAAGTCAAATGTTTCTTCCTCTTAAATATAATCAAAGAATTATTCATTGACCCAAAAGGACTTCAATGATTATGGTCATCAGGCACTGCATTTATAGACAAGGCCTGCTTTGTTATAAGATTGCATTTTTTTCTTGTCAAATCGCTTATAGTTTTCCTTTTTTAAAAAAAAATATGCTTTTATTGCTTTTTAGAGAGGAAGGAAAGGGATAGAGAGATAGAAACATGGATAAGAGAGGAACATCATTAATCGGCTGCCTCCTGCACGCCCTCTTCTGGTGATCAAGCTGCAATCCAGGCATGTGCTCTGACAGGGAATTGAACCCGCAACCTCTTGGTTCCTGGGTCAATGCTCAACCACTGAGCCGCATTGGCTGGCGCTGACGTTCTTCTTAGGGAGCCAAGGAAAAGGAGGGGTGGGGATCACTAACATGAAAGGCAACAAATAGACTATAATTCTTATGGGGAAATGATTTTAGTCTCTCCACCATGAAAACAAATGAGTAAGAATGAAACAAGACCACATCTTTATGAGAAACCAAGAAATTGTGGGGTTTGTTTGTTGCTGTTTTTATGCCCGACGTGGCTTCCTAATAAAAGAAAATAGAAATGCAATTCACCATCTCCGCCAAGCAGTTTTTTAGGAACGCGATACGAAGCTGGGCACAGGAAATCCCAGTGCCGGCGAAAGGCCTGAGGACACTGTTTCCCAGACAGGAACCCAGGCGCCAGCCAACTAACAGGCAGCATTGCAGGTGCGAGGGCTGGAGGGAGCCCGTCCTCACAGGTATGGCCATGCCCGCTCCTCACCCACTGCCCCCACAAAAAGCACCTGGCCTTCACTGTCACAGACTCAGCTAGTCCTCAAAGCACTGCATAGGCACTTCGCACCATCAGTGGCTTTTTTGGGGGGGGTGGGGAGGGGAGGTTGAAATTGTCGCTGGGCTCATGTACCAGTGACAAGAAATGAAACAATGCCCACTTCATGGGCTGGTCCCAATTGCCAGGGTGTGAAGAAACATACAGTTGGGTGTTTGTCACGACTCCATCATCTCGGGGCCTCTATGAACCCCTCCCTCGTGGAGCCGCACGCCCAGATGGCACCCCAGGTAAAAAGGAGCCGTCCTCTCCCCGCCGGGGCTGCTTGGCTGTGAGGGTGACGGAGAGCCCCTCTGTGGCCACAGCTGCTCACATGCTGCCTCCGTTCCAGCTTCCACATTACTCACACCACCTCCTTCCCAGAAGTGCTCGCTGTGGCCTGGAAAACATGTTCACTAAGGCTGATGAGAGATAAATCCATGTAAAAATAAAAAGAGATCATTATGAGATGAGACTACAGGGGGAACTTGTTACATAAATTTCATGCAGTAAAATCCCACACCGTTGCTAAAGAAAAGCCAGCGACAAGGTCAGCTCAGGATCTGCAGTCCGAAGCCTGTTCCAGGGCGGGGGCGGGAGGGCTGCGCTGCTTAAAGATCGAGTGCCCTGTCCTTCGAGAAAAGCCTGCTGAGTGAGCATCAGGCCCACTTAGAAGAAACCTGCAATGGCTTCCCGCCCTGGCCACTCCCGTTACTCGATGCCCGGGGCCTCCAGTGGCCTAAGCAGTGAGAAGGTCTCTTTGCAGTGATGGTCCCTGCACAGAGAAAGGGGGCGCACTATGGACCCCCGAGTAAGACTGGGTCAGCCCTGGAACAGAAGGAGACACAGGTGCCCCAGGTCCTGACAAAGAAGAGATTACAAAGTGGCCAGTAGGGGGCGGCCTGAGGGGAAACTGCCCGTCTCAAAAGGGGAAAACCAGTGCTCAGCTCCACAGGACTCCCTGTGACGTCACCAGGTACCGCCTCGGAGCAGGAGCAGCGGGCCACTCCTGGGCCATGCCCCCTGCCTGGCAGGTGGTGGCCGGACCTGGGAGGGTTCCTGTCCCCAGGCGAGGTCATATGGTCAGTACTGAGTGAGCTGGCATTTTTTCTCATGGGTATTATTTTCTAACAAGAAACCCAAATGGTTCTCGTAGGACATAACACAGGCTTGGTTGCTTTTTTAACATTAATCAGCAACCCATTCAGGAGAATGGGTGGGATGTCTGAATCTCTCAAGTTATCCTTCATCTGCACCGCAGCTGGTGCCCTCAAACACACGCACACATGATCCAAGGCACACGTGTGAGGCAACAGAGCCCATGTTTGATTTCAGAGAAGGGAGAGGGAGGGAGGGAGGGAGGGAGGGAGGGAGAGAGAGAGAGAGAGAGAGAGAGAGAGAGAGAGAGAAACATCAATGATGAGAGAGCATCATTGATTGGCTGCCTCTTGCACGCCCCACACTGGGGATGGAGCCGTGACCTCCTAGTTCATAGGTCGATGCTCAACCACTGAGCCTTGCTAGCTGGATTCGATCTATCTTTCAAAACAGGTTCTCTCATATCTACAGTTAACATTTGCAATTTAAAACAATGCCTTCCCTTTGTGAGAAGTCCACAGTGAAAAGGGACACGTGGTGTTCGTAAAGTCTGGATGGGAACCGATGGTGAAGGACACGGCCGCCGGCATTGGTCCAGGGTCCTGCGGGGGTGACCCCGAGCCAGGCCTCCCTCTCTCCCTCCGCCTCTCCCCCCTGCGGGTCCCTGCTTGGCTCAGGGAGAGGCTCCCAGCTGGAACAGGCCGCTCGGGAAGCCTGGCTCCCGGGGCTGCAGGAGGAAATCAGCGGCCAGCCACACAGAAAGGCGCCCCAGAGCCGCCCGGCTCGCCTGTTCCTGGTGAGCCAGGTGCCAGCGGACAAGTCACCCCCAGAGCCGTGCAGAAGCCTCTTCCCAGGAAAGTGTCCAGCGAGTGTCCAGGGGCCTGAGGCCCGGCCCGGCTGGAAAGGTCAGGTGCGCGTGTGCACAGGTGTCTTTTAGAACCCTGTTTAGAGACAGTTTAATGTGCACGGTGCATTTTTGCTAAAGAACACTCACTCCTGATTTCATAGCCTCCCCATCACTCTCCGGCTGTCAGTCACCCATAAACAACAGCGGGTTTTTACAAACAGTACATCAATCATTATCCAAGGAGACTGAAAACTCCCTTCTCCCTCCCGTGGCATTTCACCCGCCCCCCCCCACGCCCACCCCCGCCCCTTTCTGAAGGTGGTGGGGGTCACGGCCTGGGTGCCTTCCGGCGCTCTGCCCCCCCTCCCCCCCGCCTCTGAAGGCTTGGCCGAGTCGTCTTTCTCCTCCCACCCCCCGTGGACACCAGGACGCCTGGGACATCCAGTAAAAGCCGTCAGCAGCCCCAGCTGCAAAAACAGTGTCAATGACGTGACATGATGGATGGCTTTAATATGTCAGGAATAGGTGTGCACATAACTCGATGTTCCTGTTACCCTCACGGTACTTGTTAACACGGCATTCCTGCGTGTCCCGTGCTTAGGGAACAATCGCTAAAACTGCCTTTGCTTTCAAATAAGCTGCAACTGACTTTGAGTCTGTTTGCTTCTCTGTCAGCCATTGTACCTTTGCTGTTCTGACTGTATGTACTTGGAAGCAAAAAGCAAACATTTCTTTTCAGCGACTTTTTCCTTGTTTTATAAACCACCTTCACATGAAACCCTACACGCCACGGGAGGGACTCAGACTACGGCCTGCTCCTTAGGCCCGCCCCGCGAACTCACCTGTGAAAAGACCCCTCGTGCTCGGGAAAATGGGAGAGTCTGAGGTGACATAGCCCACCCTTTCCAGGTTTCCTAAAACACTGGCCTGGAAACTTAAGAATTTTACAATTTGTTTTAAAATCTAAGCCCTAGGAAATGTCTTCTAGATGTCTTAGCAATCACTGGTTTGGTAGCAAAAATAATAATAATAAGCTTAAGAACTGACAACCACTGGTGAGCTCCATTTTGTCCACAGACCGATTTTTTAAAATTCATCTCTTTATTAAAAATATTTTTTTTATTGAGTTCAGAGAAAAAGAGACAGGGAGAGAGAGAGAGAGAAACATCAATGATGAGAGTCATTGATCGGCCGTCTCCTGCACACCCCCTACTGGGGACTGAGCCCGCACATGCCCTGACCTGGAATCAAACCGTGACCTTCTGGTTCATAGGTCAACACTCAACCATGACCAAACCGGCTAGGGTTGCAGCCCAATTTTTAACGGCCCTGTCTGATTTCTTCCCGCTTTTGTAACCTTGAACAAATAGCACGGCTAAGTCACTGTAAAGCAGACGACGAAACAGGTGCTCTGAAAATGCCACAGAGACCTGCCAGGTCTGGCTGACAGCAAAACCGGTCGAAGAAAAATGTCAAGAGTTTTAAAATTAGGTCAAAGAAAACAGCTATTTTTTAAAATCATCTTCTCATTTTCCTTTCACTCAAAATCAAAACATAACAGAAATGTCCAACTGCTGAAAATGGAGTCTGAACCACAAACTCGACTGCTAAGATCCAGAAAGAGAACTAGCACACTGCTGGAGTGCTCAGGGTGTACCAAGCTGCTGGGAGCATTTATACACGCAGCCTCTCATTTCAATTCCCACAGGGCCTCTATGAAGGAGGTACCGTTGCGACTCCCATTCTACAGATGAGGAAACTGCGGCTGATGGATCATATGTGTGTCTCTTGCCAAGAACCCACACCTTTGCTACATAGCACTTCTTTTTTTCTTTTTTTTAAAAAAATGTTTTTATTGATTTTGGAGAGAGAAAGGGAAAGGGTTAGAGAGATAGAAACATTGATGAGAGAGAAACATCATCCATCAGCTGCCTCCTGCACACGCCCCACAGGGGATCGAGCCCGCAACCCGGGCATGTGCCCTGACCTGGAACTGAACTGGCAGCCTTTTGGTTCC